AGAGTGCTCCTTGGAGGCCAAGATGGCCAAACTTCGTCTCTCATACTTCGGACATATTGTCAGGAGGGACCAGTCACTGGAGAAGTGTATCATGTTTGGTAAGGTGGAGGGATATTGAAAGTGCCGTGAGCTGCTCGAAGAACAAACAGATCTATGTTGGAAGAAGTGCAGCCAGAGTGCTCCTTGGAGGCCAAGATGGCCAAACTTCGTCTCTCATACTTCGGACATACTGTCAGGAGGGACCAGTCGCTGGAGAAGTATATCATGTTTGGGTTGCTATGGGTTGGAATCAACTTGATAGCACTTAACAACAGCATAGTAAGCTAACATTATCTATACCTGTCTGCTCATATTTTAGGAAGCAACGAAGTATAAATCACAATCTTTAAAAAAATGATTAAGAAAAGCACTGGACTGTTATCCGCAAGATCAGCAGTTCAAACCCAACAGCCCCTCCTTGTACATGCTATGACATTTCACAACTCGATAGCACACAACAACGATGGTTTGAGGATGTCAGTGAACTAATTCATTATTTTGAAAACTGGTTTACAAAATAATGAGGGGCGGGGGAAATCAAGCATTTTTCCTGTGTTGTCTTTAAGTACTATACCAAAAGGTTAACTAAATATATAAAAGGAATTTCTCTTCACCAAAGTATTTTAGCTAATAAATGGAGAAGTAATGACAGAATTAGATCACCATTCTGTAAGATTTAATGAACCAATGAATTTAACAATGAGCAGTGGTTGCTTATATTGCAAAAAGATTAGACAACTGGCATTATATGCCTCCTGATTAAAGAACAGTACAGCTTCTATAACTTTGCCAAAAATAAAACAAAAGGGACATAAACCAGCACCTATTCAAGCCTTCAACTATCAATTTGCAAAAAATCAAGACACAGCAAAGATCAATATCTAAACTATTGAAAACTATCAGAAAGTTCACGCTTCAACAAATAAATCATAAACAGCAGGAGGGGAAAAAGGTAGGAGTGAAGAAATTACAGATTTAAAAGAGATTTAAGACATCATTTAGTCATAATGTGTGGCTCTTATCTGGAGAACAAACAAGATGGCAGATCGGGTGGATGTATAGCAGAGAGCTCCGCCAACAACAACACAGAATACCCGA